TTCTCTAATTTTTCTTTAGTAATTTAATTTAGAGTCTAAGGCACAAACAGCTAGTCCAGATGTCATCCTAAATCAGAAGTCAACCACATTCTATTAATAGTGATATTTCACATCAAAGATTTGGCTGAGATCATTGATGCATACCTGGCATTCCAAGTTGTAGTAGGTGTTTATACTGGCAGCTTTCCTTTTCCCTAGATTTATATTCAGAACTCTCAATAAAATATTAAGCAGTTTGAAAATAGAACCTAAAATATATTCAATGAGTATGCAGTTCTCATTTTCCTTTTTTTTAATTTTATTTACTTATTTTTGATAGAGAGAGAGAGAGAGAGAGAGAGAGAGCAGGAGAGGGGCAGAGAGAGAGGGAGACAGAGGGCAGAGAGTGGGACTCAAACTCATGAACCATGACATCATGACCTGAGCTGATATCAAGAGTCAGGTCCTTACCCTGCTGAGCCACCCAGGTGCCCCCCTTTTTTCAGTTCTCATTTTCATCCCACTCCACCTCAAAGTCCTGCTTGCTAACCTAAGGTATATAAACATAATATGAATAGAGGAAAATTGTAGGGAAATTACGTCAACCTTTTAAAGGATTAATCCTCAAATAAATGTCTCAACTCAAGTCTTAACCTCAGTAAAACATACTGTATGTCAATTCTAAAAAATGAATCATCATTATAGAAAAAGGAAAATGTTTGAAACTGTTTTAGCATGAAATTCCTCTATCTATCCCAGCATGCATGCATGTTTCACACACTGGAGAAATATGTAGCCATTTCTCTTTATGACTACAATATCATGGAATTGAAAAGAGAGGAAAAAGTATATTTAAGAAATGTGTATGTTTAATTTTTTCTTCCTTATTCAAATTTTTTAGCATCTCCATGTTCAAAATGCTTATGCATTCTAGGTGTATTATTACACTCCACCATTTCAATTAGAAGTCACCAAGCAGCTCTTTCAATTTACTAAAAAGTTGGATGAGTTGGACTTCATTAAAATTAAAAATTTTGCTCTGCAAAAGATAATGTGAAGAGAATAAAAACACAAGCCACAGACTGGGAGAAAATGCTTGCAAAAGATACATCTGATAAAGGACTGTTAGACAAAATACACAAAGAACTCTAAGTTCAACAACAAGAAAACTAAAAACCCAAATTTTATATTATTTTATTTTATTTTATTTTTATTTTTTCAATATATGAAATTTATTGTCAAATTGGTTTCCATACAACACCCAGTGCTCATCCCAAAAGGTGCCCTCCTCAATACCCATCACCCACCCTCCCCGCCCTCCCACCCCCCATCAACCCTCAGTTTGTTCTCAGTTTTTAAGAGTCTCTTATGCTTTGGCTCTCTCCCACTCTAACCTCTTTTTTTTTTCCTTCCCCTCCCCCATGGGTTTCTGTTAAGTTTCTCAGGATCCATATAAGAGTGAAACCATATGGTATCTTTCTCTGTATGGCTTATAAAAACCCAAATTTTAAATGGGTCAAAGACCCTAACAGACATCTCACCAGAGAAGATGTATGTATGGATGGCAAATAAGCATATGAAAAGATGCTCCACATCATATGTCATCAAGGAAGTGAAAATTAAAACACAGTGAGATATACTACATGCTTGTTAGAATGGCTGAAATCCAGAACGCTGACAACACGAAATGTTGACAGGGATGTGGAGCAACAGGAACTCTCATTCATTGCTGGTGGGCATACATTGCTGGTGGTCCAGTCACTTTGGAACATAGTTTGATAGCTTCCAACAAAACTAAACATACTAAGGGTGCCTGGGTGGCTCAGTTGGTCAAGCGTCCTACTCTTGGTTTCAGCTGAGGTCATGATCTCATGGTTCTTGAGACCGAGCCACTGGTTGGGCTCTGTGCTGACAGCATGGAGCCTGCTTGGGATTCTCTCTCTCCCTCTCTTTCTGCCCCCCCCCCATAAGTAAGTAAACATTTTAAAAAAACATACTAAAAATATATATGATCCAGCAATTCCACTCCTTTGTATTTACCTAAAGGCGTTGAAAACTTATGTCCACACAAAAACCTGCATACTATGTTATAGCAGCTTTATTTGTAATCACCAAAAATTGAAAGCAACCAAGATGCCCTTCAGTAGGTTATTGGATAAATAAACTGGCACGCCCAAGCAATGTAATACTATTCAGTGCTAAAATGAAATAAACTGCCAAGCCATGAAAAGACATGGAAGAAACTGAAATGTTTATTAGTAAATGAAAGGAGTCCATCTGAAAAGTCTACATACCTTTTTATTCCAACCATATGACATTATAGAAAAGGCAAAACTATGGAGACAGTAAAAAGATTAGTGGTTGCCTGGGACTGGGGGTGGAATGGATGAATAGGTGGAGCACAGAGGATTTTTAGGGCAGTGAAACTACTCTACTATAGTATGATACTATAATGATGGATACATGTCATTATCTATCTGTCCAAACTCATAGAATGTACAACATAAAGACTGACCCCTAAAATAAACTATGGACTTTGGATGATAATATTACGTTGATGTAGACTCATCAGTTGTGACAAATGTACCACTTGGTGGGAGATGTTGATAATGGAAGAGGCTTATGCATATATTGTACTTTCCACTCAATTTTGCTATAAACCCAAAACTGCCATAAAAAATAAATTCTTTTAAAAAACAGTGTTTTACTGTCATGTTTAACTCAAGTACTACTTACTACAGAAACTTTTCAACTGATCACAATGTTATATACAAGATGTTTCTGTTTGTTTAAATGTTTTTTGCAATATATTTTGGCTTTAACTTTTAAAAGTAAGCTCAATATTTAAAAATGCACTGCAACTTGGCAGGCTTTTAAAAGGCTTAAGGAAAGTAATGCAAATAACCATGGCTCAGAAGTGTAAGAAGAAAGTGAGGCAACCAGAACCTGATCCTCCTGCTCTAACAAAGAAAAACTACAATCCCAGGGAGCAAGATGCTGAGTTCCCATGAGAAGATACCACCTTCTAAGTTATATGGGACCATGGGACCAGAAAAAAGGGAGCTCAAGAATTCCAGGGCTGGGCTTGAATCTTCAGAATGAAGAAAGAATCACTGACTGAAGACCTGTTCAGGCATGGCTTGGCCAAGATCCCTAGGACAAGAAAGTTCTCAATTGCAGAAGATTTTGCCAAGTCTATGGATAGAGAACCTATGTTCTAGAGCAGGCTGTACCTGATAACAGCCTATAGTATTCACAGTCATTTTCTTTCTTTCTTTCTTTATTTGTTTGTTTTTAATGTTTATTTATTTATTTTGAGAGAGAGAGAAAGAGTGTGAGCAGGGGAGGGGAGTAGAGAGAGAGAGAGAGAGAGAATCTCAAGCAGGCTTGACATTGTCAGCACAGAGCCCAAGGCAGGGCCCTATCCCATGACCCTGGGATCATGACCTGAGCTGAAATCTAGAGTAAGATGCTCATCCCACTGAGCCACAACTGCTCATTTTAATCCTGTCTATCAAACTGTTACTTCAATGTCCTTAGTATGCTTGTGCTTGGTGATGACGTCTTTTTCAAACAGCATCAACCCATGTAAGATATGTACAAAAGCAGTGAGAGTTCTAAAAATATTTTTAGGGGCACCTGGATGGCTCAGTCGATTAAGCACCCAACTTTGGCTCAGGTCATGATCTTTCAGTTCGTGGGTTCGAGCCCTGTGTCGGGCTGTGTGCTGATAGGAGCCTGGAGCCTGCTTCAGATTCTGTTGTCTCCCTCTCTCTCTGCCCCTCCCCCGCTCATGCTCTCTCTCTCTCTCTCTCTCTCTCTCTCTCAAAAATAAATATTTATATAATAAAAATATTTTTTAAATTAAATAAATAAATAGGTAATTAATATGGAAGCTTCTGAGAGTGCTATATGCATTCAGTCAGATGCAATTATGCTCCAGTCAATGTGGAAAGTCCTAGACTTCAATGCTGTCAGGAAGCTTCCACATGTGCAGTAGTTTCATGCAAAGAATCCCAGGGAAAACCTTGATGGTGGCAAGAAGCCAGCCTGACATGAGGCTGTCAGGACAATATCTTTCATTTGCAGAACATTCTAAACTTTACCATGTGCTTTTGCTTACATTATTGGATTGACCATCCAGCGAAGGAGGTTGTCACTGTCTCCATTTGTCAGATAAGATATTAAGGTTCATTAGGTTAAGCAACTTGCCTGAACCAGTAGGTATCTGGGAGTTCCAACATTTCTAGATGTAATGTCTAAAATTTCTATCTTGGAGAATATTCAGGCATGCCGAGGAAATGGAATAATGGGGAAGTCTTAATTCATGAGAATTTTCTATGAAGTTCTGCTTGTATTTACCAACTATCCAACTTTAGCAAGTATATTTAGTGAAAGGTGTTACAGTTAGGAAAAAGCCAAATGGGTGTGTGTGTGTGTGTGTGTGTGTGTGTGTGTGTGTGTAGTGCTTCTCAGTGTGGACCTTAACCACCTTAATCACATTCACATGAGGATTCGATAAAAATGCAGGTTCCAGGCTTCTGCCCACAACCCAGTTTGCTCTGAACTTTAAGATCTCTAGGGGTGAATTGGTAAATCTACGTCTTTAACAAGTCTGTCAGATGATCACGTGTATGCTAACCCACTTACAGGGTGATGTTAAACCTGGTTATTTTCTCTTTAGGAAAAATTCTAACCAAGGCCGGCAGGTGACCTTTAACCTTGACATTGATGGTTTTTGGCTGCCGTCCTTTTTCCTTTCCCCGGAGAGACGGGACGGGGCGGGGCTTGGACGGGCGGGGCTTGGACGGGCGGGGCGAGTGTGGGTGGGGCGAGAGGGGTCTGGTTCGGCCTGGCCGGGTGGAGGGGGAAGGGTTAAAAGCTCCGCGCGCAGGCGCTGCCCTCTGAACAGGAACGGAAAGCAACTTCCGGTCGGTTCATTCGGCCGGGCGCCGCGGATCCCGGGCGCGGAATCCCTGAACTGTGAGTAAGAAACTTCGCGAGCGAGTTCGTCTTTCGGAACCCGTCGAACACAATGGCGGGGAACTTGTGTGTGTGAGCGAGGGCGGTGCGCTGGTAGTACTGGTGCCGCAGGGAAAGAAGCCGAAGAGCTGCGGAGACAACCAGCTCTCAAGAGTGGAGAGGGACGTTGTGCGAGAGAAACCACCCGGGTGTACGTCCCAGAGCGGACCCGGGAGGGGTTTTCCGGGCCCGCGACGTCAGCACTGCAACGCTGTCCCAGCCGTGACGCTCCGTGGGGAGGGATCCTGCCCAGCTCCGCGTCCAGCGCTCGCGCAGACTTGACCTATTCGCCGGGAGACAGGGGAGGCAGGGCTTGCGATGTCTGGGTGAGCAGTGGGTCCCGGCGCGAGTGTCCCAGACTCCCTTCGGGGCAAGGGTTGTCTTCCGGAAGCTAGTATTATCGTGGTTATTCTTTCGAAAACTTTTAAATAGGTCTTTCTGTTCTTCCCAAGGTTGTTGCATAATTCCGCTCTCTGCTTTCCTGTGGGGTGTCATCATAGCCGTGTCAATGAGAAGTGGGGTAACTTCCCCGAGGGTGACGGAGAGAATGGGTGGGCGAGGCGGAAAAAGCAAAAGCATACCCTACCCGCAGTGGGAACTAGGCGTTACTTAGGGTCTCCACTCTCGTGTGAACAGAAACAACGAGTTACAGGTGTAAACAGCTGTGCTTGTCAAGCGAAGAACGTAGGGAGAAGATACTCAAACCAAGGAGTGGGTGTGTCCCTTGTTACACTGTAACAAGCAAAAGTAGAGCAGCCTTGCTATGTAAAGTGTCATTTATCTCACCGATGCTTTTGACAAGTTATCCTAAGGGAAAAAGGGTAGTAACAGAAGTGAAGTGATATGAAAATGTAGGAAAATAAAATGATCTTTCTGCTTACCATGGTTGGAATACACATTTCAAATGTAGCAGAGAAGCAAGTACTGTATTCTGTTGAAAAATTATTTTCTCATCATTTGGAAGGGGTGGAAAACCCCAAAATGATACAACCATGTATAAAGCCATCAATTTCTAAAGAAAATGAAACGTTCTCAGGTCTTTCTCCAGTCGTAGGTACTCCAAGACCGTCTACATCTCTCTTACATGCACAAAACATGTTATTTCGTTCTCTTGTGAAAGTGAGATTGTATATACATACTATTCTGTTTTCTGAGTTTTCAGACCAAAAACTATATGGTGCAAGTCTTGCCATGCATAGCTCTATTTTATCTTAATGTCAGCATGGTATTCCTCTAAGAGCATATACCATAACATAGTTAACCATCTCTTAATGTGGCTTGTCCCTATATTTTGCCCATTATTATTCAAAATTATTTATCTGTATTTGATTAGAGTACAGATATATTAATCCTTAATGAAATATATGGCAGATATTTTCAAGAACTGTCAGTCTTTTGGTTTAAAATGCCCAGGTTTTGTTTTTGTTTTTTATCACTTAAGGCAGTTCCTACTCAAAAATTATTAAAATATTTTCCTATATTGCCTGTTAATTATTTTATAGTTTTTTATGCTCTACTCTTTAAAACATCTGAAAATTATTTTTGTACATTATATAAGATAGGGATTTAGCCTTTTTTTTCTGAACTCATTTGTTAAGATCAATTCTTCCTGACTAGAAATACTACCTTAGTATAATAAATTTACATGGGTCTTTTATTATTATTATTATTATTATTATTATTCTGTTGCTTTGTTCTATTTGTCTCTCCCTATACAAATACCAATCTCTTTGATTCTGGCATTTTTTAAGTAATTCCTACAGCAAGTCCTTCTTCATTTATCTTTTTCAAATTTTCTTGAATATTATTGCACTTATTTTGACATAAAATTTAAAGTAAACTGTTTATGTTTCATTAAAATAATCCTTTGGTCTGTTTTAGCTAAAATATTCACTAATACTTTGTGGCTGGTATGTAGGTGAGTGATTATACATCTGGCCGATTTTCTAAATTTATTAGTTTTAATAAATTGTCCCCCTTGAATTTTCTAGGAAAACAATCATTTAAACATAGTCTTATCTTTCTTTATACTTTTTTTCTTTCTTTGGTTTAATGAATTGCTAGTTTCTTCAGCCTAGTGCTATGTAATCCAGCCTAGTGATATGTAATAACAGTGATTCTGGCCGTCCTTTTCTTATTTCTTAGTTTTTGGATACTTTTACCATGTCATCATTAAATATGGCATTTACTATTAATTTCCAATAAGTTCTGTTTATCAAGGAAGTGTCTTTAATATTTCTAGCTTACTAGGATTTTTCGAAAGTGGATTTTGGATCAAGGTGTGTGTGTGTGTGTGTGTGTGTGTGTGTGTGTGTGTGTGTGTGTGT